TACCTAAAAATAAACTCCATGGCACAATGACCATAATTTTAACTGAGCACTCTCAGACTGCCAAAAGTGGCATCATTACTTCAAAATAAAATCATGACATGGTGATTTAAAAAAGAAAATCTCAGTGTTCCTATAGAAACACAAAAAACCCAATATATTCAAAACAATCCTGAACAATAAAAGAGCTGCTGGAGGTATCATCATCAGATTTCAAATTATATAGGGTGTCATATATTACAAATTACATTACCATAACAATTGCATCGTAGTAGCATAAAAAGAGAAATATTGAGCAATGGAATAGAATTGAGAGCTCAGATTTAAGAACTGTGTTTCTTGAGTCTAGGCCAGCTGCAGGTACAAAGGGAGACCTTGTCTCAAAAAAAAAAAGAAAACCTCAATTATAGCACTTATCGATATATAATGCAGCTGTGTGTGGTGGCACACGCCTGAAATTCCAACACCTAGAAGGCAGAGGCAAGAAGATGGAAAGTTTCAGACCTGCCTAGGTTACAGAGTGAGTTCATCCTGAGCAACTTGGTGAGACCCTGTCTTGAAATAAAAAAAATACAGTAAGGACTGGGTGTGCAGCTTAGTAGTAAAATGCTTGCCTAGTATGAATGAGAACCTGTGTTCAACAAGAAAAAACAAGTTGACATTATCTTTCTTCATCTTTAAGCAAAACAAATACTCTCTGATATAACAATTCTATTCCTAAACTGTGGAGTCACCCAAGGAATAACTCTGGCAATGAGCACAGATTAATTACAGCCACAGAGATATCAGGTAGAAAATGCAAATCATAGAATAAGTGAAGCAGAGACTCAGTGACATAAAATTCAAACTGAAGCAAAACTTATGAAGTATTATTACATAGAGAAAGAAATGAGACAAAGAGCTTAAGAGAAGCAAAATGTTTATAGAGGTGTAGTTCAGTGGTAGCTCAAAGGTAGAGGGTTTGCCTGGGCAAGAGCCTAGGTGTGATTCTTCAGCAAAATAAAGAAAGGGGGAAAGGAGAAGAAGAAGAGAGGGATGGCAGGCAATCAACAAAAATCATTCAGGGTAGCAAATACCTCTTGGGAGGCAAAAGGGAAACAGATCCAGTAGGAACATATTGGAAGGCTTCCCAATATCAACAATTTCTAGTCTGTTCGTCCTTCCTGCTTTTCCTCCCTCCTTCCTTCCTATTTATGTATCATGCACATGTGCTTGCATGTGTATGCCACAGTGTGCATATGGAGATCAGAGGAAACTTTCGGGAATCAGTTCTCTCCTTCCACGGTGGGTTGAGGGAATTTGAACTCAGGCTCACACAGTGAGTGCTTTTACTCCCGAGGTACCTCCCTGGCCCAATTATGTCCTATTTCTTTACTAGGGGTAAGTTCATGAGTGTTCATTATGATGCATCAAACTTACTAGTATATTACATAAAATGTTTGTTAATAATATGCAATTTGAAAAAATATTTTTTAAAAATTTTTAAGAAATCAAAATAGCCGGGCATGGTGGCACACGCCTGTAGTCCCAACACTTGGGAGGCAGAGGCAGATGGATCTCTGTGAGTTCAAGGCTAGCCTGGTCTATATAGAGAGTTCCAGGACAGCTGGGGCTACAGGGAGACACTGTCTCAAAAAGAGAAAAAAAAAAATCAAAATAAGGGCCAGGTATATTGGTGCATGTCTTTAATCCCAGGACTCAGAAGGCAGAGACAGGGGAATCTCTGTGAGCTTGAGACTAGCCTGGTGAGTTCCAGGTCAGCTGGGGCTAGAGGGAGTCCATATCTCAAAAAAAAAAAAAAAAAAAAAGAAAACTTTTATTTAAGGCAACATATAGATAAAATTATATGCTTTGGAATAATGTGGCAGGGGAAAGAGATGAAATTAAAAGGCCCATGTGTTGGGGTTGGAGAGATGGCTCAGCAGTTAAGAACACTGTTCTTGCAGAAGACCCGGATTCGAATCCCAGCACCCACATGGCAGTTAACAACTGTCCATAACTCCAGTCCCAGGGGATCGGACAGTCTCTTCTGTCCACAGGCAAGGCCAGCCTGGTCCACATAGTGAGTTCCAGGACAGCTGGGGCTACAGGGAGACCCTGTCTCAAAAAGACCAAGAAAAAAAAAAGGCCATGTGTTAATAACCACTGAGGTGGGTACTGGGTACAAGAGGATGATTATGCTCCTCTACTTCTATCTGTATTTGAACATCTATGTTAGAGAAAACAGACTGAAAGATTCCATTTAGCAAACCATGCTGCTGTCAGAAGTGAACTCATCTTCACTGCCATTCCAAGTCAAGGGCACTAAAGCATCTAAGCTATACTGGTGGAGGTCTTCACAAGCCATGATTAATGCCTTCATCTCCCCACTGGCATCTACAAGTCAGTGACATGGAAATCCCACAAATCAAGACTAATAACTCAGTGAGAGGTGTGGTGACACATGCTCAAGTTTAGCAATGGAGAGAGAAACATACGGCGGTGCATCTCCCGATAAAGAATGGTCAACGCTTGCAGCGAGTTGTCATCTGTGGGCTCAAGGGCAGCCACCTCCTGAGCCAAGGTAAAAGCTTCCTCCTGCTTTCCAGTTCTCTGTAAACCGATTGCCTTCAGAACCTGACAGCAAGGAGAGAAAATTCAGTTTTTAAAAGGACAGCTGAGGCTGAGTCCCAGGTTTATACCTGGGCTATATAATGAGGTTCTGTCTCAAAAGAAAAGAAAAGTGTAGGGGGGAGATAGGAAGATAATGAATTGGTAAAGTGCCTGCCTTGCAAGCACAAGGAGCTGGTTCAATTCCCAGGACCCAAGTTTTTTTTAGAAAAAAAAAAGGTGTAATAGCATGTAATTCCAGCACTGAGAAGGCAAGCAGGTGGATCATTGGAGTGCACTGGCCAGCCAGCCTAGACTAGCCTATTTGGCAAGATTCAGGCCAATGAGACTGTCTCAAAAAAAAAGGAAAGGTGGGGGTTAGAGAGATGGATCAGCACTCACATCATGTGGTTCACAAACACCTGTAACTTCGGCACCAAGAAATCTAATGCCTCTCTGACCTCTACAGATACCAACAGAATAAAAATAAAAGTAAATCTTAAAAAAAGGTGGACAGAAGGCATGGTGGTGGCTCATGCCTTCAATCACAGCACTTGGGAGGCAGAGACAGGGGGATTCTAATGCCTCTCTGACCTCTACAGATACCCACAGAATAAAAATAAAAGTAATCTTAAAAAAAGGTGGACAGAAGGCATGGTGGTGGCTCATGCCTTCAATCACAGCACTTGGGAGGCAGAGACAGGCGGATCTCTGTGAGTTCAAGGCCAGTTTGGTCTACATAGTGAGTTTCAGACCAGCTGGGGCTACAGGGAGACCCTGTCCCAAAAGGACAAGAAAAAAAAAAGTATGTGTACAGGAGATCTTAATTTGCCAGGCGTGGTGGCATAAGCCTTTAATCCCAGCACTGGGGAGGCAGAGGTAGGCAGATCTTTGAGTTCTAGGCCAGCTGGGGCTACAAGGAGACCCTGTCTCAAAAAGGCAAAAAAAAAAAAAAGGTGGAAAATACCAGCAGATGTTCTCTCTGGCCTCCAAATACGCACTCTAAAACACAGACAGACAGACAGACAGACAGACACACATACACACACACGCAAAGGAAGTGTGAAGCAAAAGCCAATATGAAAGCAGAAGCTGTAAGGTATGACAAACTGCTGATCAACTATAATTAAGGGCTGGTGCCAGGTGTGGTAGTCCACACCTTTAATACCAGCCCTCAGGAGGCAGAGGCAGGCAGATCTCTGTGAGTTCCAGGCCAGCCTGGTCTATAGAGTGAGATCCAGGCCAACAGGCTATAGGGAGACCCCTGTCTCAAAAAAAAAGACCAAAAAGAAAATTAATAATAATAATAAAATGAAATAAGGACTGGAGAGATGGCTCAGCAATTAAGAGCACTGGCTGCTCTTGCAGAAGACAGGGGTTCAATTCTCAGTACCCACATGGTGACCAACAATTGTCTGTAACTCCAGTTCCAGGGGATCTAATACCCTCTTCTCCATGGGCATTGCATGACACAGGTGCACTTGCAGACATGCAGGCAATACATTCACACACATAAACTAATGTTTTAAAATATATATAGGGCTGGAGAGATGGCTCAGTGGTTAAGAGCACTGACTGCTCTTGCAGAGGACCCGGGTTCGATTCCCAGCACCCGCATGGCTACAAACCATCCTTAACTCCAGTTCCAGGGAAATCCAAAGCTGTCTTCTGACCTCTGTGGCATTGTATGACACGGGTGCACTCACACACATGAAGGCAATACACTCATACACATAAAATAAAAATAATAAGCTGGGCATGGTGGTGCACACCTTTAGTCCCAGCACTTGGGAGGCAGAGGCAGGCGGATCTCTGTGAGTTCAATGCCAAC